AGAGCCAGACTGTTTATGGCCTGAAAAATCATCAGGGTTTTGCCAGACAGAGAATATGAGATTGAGATTTGGAGTCAGGAAATAAGATTGTAACAGAGGATTAGTTGTACCCTTCCAAATAAAAGCTAAAATCAACAAAGTAGGTACTGCTGAAGAACATCAATCTCGAGCATGTTTGGCTGCATCTTCCCCAATCTCCTCCTTGTCTGTTTGCAGATAAAAACCTCTGTGTCAGGTGAAGCTTGAAAGTATCAGCGAGAGTGGGATCAGAGGATGAACAGCAAGAAGGCTTTATCAACACTTCCAGCAGTGAAAGATTGCAGAGAGGCTTCAGGAAGAGCTGTGTTTGTGCTCTGAGAGTGGGATGTGGTCAGGCCATGGGGGACAGAAATCCTGCTCCAAGTGCAGCAGAACCTGAGGATGGAAGTGGTTCCCAGAGGACAAGCAGAGTCACTGTACAACCCTCACCCCAATCCCATGCCCAGTGCCTCACCTGCACCAGCCTCACAGGTAGCTGGAGAAGTGCACAGGATCTTAGGAAATGTGTTTCCAAATCTGTGTGAGATTATGGCAGGGGAGAAAAAAAACCCCAACTCCTATTCCTTAATTGGAGAAAACCCACTAATCCAAACTACCTCTTTAATGTTTCTGTTCGAATGCTGTGGACTGGAAAGATAACAAACAGAAGCAAATTATTTTCACCTGATTAAAACCAAGTAATTAACAGCACTTTGGTTATCTCACCTGGAAAGCCTGGCTCTGGGAGAGCTGTTAGAGCCATGTGTGAAAACAGTGTGCAGGAAACATAATTAAAATTATGACCTGAGTGATCGGCTAAAACATCCCAAAGGAGTCCTGGAGTCAGAGCTGTAAGGAAACAATTCACCTCTGGCTCCTGACTGTGTTCCAGAGTGTCCCCACTGCCTTGTCCCAGCCCCAGGGCACGGCTGGGAGCTCTGCAGCTGCCCTTCCCCTCCCAGCATGGCCCTGACACTTCCCAGGACATCTCTCCATCATTTATTTCTCCTGCCATCCTGTGATGTGTTCCCCCCTTCTCTCCAGCTACCGAGGACCAACACAACCCCCCCACCAAATCCATTCCCAAACAGCACCTTTTGGTGGCCAGTCCCTATCCCAGCAACAGCCCAGCTCTTCTCCATGCAAATCCCAGTGTTGTGACCCAAGCAGATATCCAAGTAAATCATAGAATCACAAAATGGTTTGGCTTAGAATGCACCTTAAAGCCTATCCCATTCCACCCCTACCATGGGCAGGGACACCTTCCACCAGCCCAGGTTGCTCCAAGCCCCATCCAACCTGGCC